TTGGGGTCAAGCGGATGCGCGACGCGGAAGTGCTCGGCACTCGCGGCGAAGGAGAGCGCGTGGCGGTGGTCCGGCTTACCAGCGGCGACATGCGTGAAGTTTCACACGCGCGAGCTTTCTTACCTTCTGCGGATGAGCTCTGCGGCGAGGTTCCAGCTACAAGCCCTTCGGCGCAGCATGATGATCAAGATTGTGCTTCTTCTCCTCCACCTGATTCGGCCGATGACGTATCTGATGCCCCGCATCTTCCTCAGGCTGATTCCAAAGCGAAGCATAGTAACCGCGCGAAGAAATTGGAACAACTATGCGTCAAGCATTCGAAGCAACTGGCGGCGACTGCGCGCGCAAGCCCGGAACTGCGCAGCGTGACAAAGAGCAACCTTGTGGACGGAACATCTGGCGAGGTATTTGCGGACGCTGAGGCTCATTCCAGAACTATCCCACAAGCAGCAACTTCAGGACTGCGACTAGTCTTGGTTTTTAGTCGTACTTTTCAAAAGCCTACTGCTATTGTTCACGATACTAGTGCGCTTAGACTTCAAAAGGATGCAAGAACGATTATTGGAATACCACTAGAGACAGCATCCGACAGCTTAGAAAGTGAAGACTGGGAGCATCACACCGGTAACAGCGTGGAGCAGTCTAATCGTAACGATGTTGGCTTATCTACGTTAGACGCTAGATATTATAGAGCTATCTCTGGCGAAGAACTAGCTGAGTTCTTGGCTTTGCCTACTTTTGCACAGCAACAAGCTTACGCAAGTGCGCTAACAGTCAATCAGCTTCGTTATCTAACCAAGTTCCTGGGTATCTCACTGAAAAACGGCAAGAAGGAGCTCCAGGATAACGCTTTGGCTTCTTGTAGATCTCGCCCGAGAGCTTTGCCAGCATTCTATAGCACTGACTGCGCTGACGATTCTACCACTAAGAACGGCGCTTCTGCTTTGTTCATACAGCAGGAGCCTAACCCTGACCAAGAGCCTGCCTTTCTTTCTGAGATGTGTGACTTTTATGATGTACTTCAGACGCATCTGGCTGCAGATAGTAGCGAGGTGACCCACTTACAGCATGGAGATCCATTATTCTCACCACTGGAAAACGTTAGAAGTCCGGACGGTAAAGGTAACCACATCGAAAAGATAACAATTTATCGAGGACGTGGCAAGATTCTCACTGGTAACTCGAAGCATCTAGGTCAAGAGTCGTGTCTTTTGTTGCCTGACAGTCAAGCGAAGCGATTAGTTGGCGACGCAATTCTGCGCAAGGGAGTCGCAGTCTCTTTGCATTCTCGTCCTAAGCCTACTATACCTGAAAAGATTACAGCCAGCAACTCAGCAAAGAAAAAGGGTCAAGTTATAAATCTTTCAGCTGAATTATTAGCAAAAGGCACAGCCCAAGGCTTGCCTATATCTTTCTTCGAAGAGCATAACTTAAAGAGGCACTACGTCAAGAACTAGGCGCATTAAATAAGTCCAACGCTTTCGCTGTAGGTAAAAGGGATCCATCTCGCAAGCCACTTACTTCAAGACTAATTCTAGGCATCAAGACCCTCGCGGATGGTCTCTTAAAGAGAGTAAAAGCGCGCTACGTACCTCGCGGATTTCCTAAAAACGACGATAGATCTGGATACGTGCGGCGAGACACTACTATGGCCTCCCAAGAAGGGCTACGCTTAGCGCTACAAAAGTACCGCAATGAGGGCTGGCTCCTATACGGCGAAGACTTCTTAAGCGCGTTTTTACAAGCTGAGGAGATAGAGGGTCCCAAACTCCGACCACGCGTCGAGTTCCCCCCTGTTGACTTTCTTCGTTCCCCCTGAGCTTCAGGATATAGTGCGTGAAGTTATGGGATTTCAAGAAGACTCAGCTCGCATTTTTGTTCGCGCTTGCTATCGTCTTGCTGATGCCTCTCGTGGTTGGTTTCGTACTTTAACTAAGAAACTTTTTGAAGTAAGCTCTCAGCAGTTACGATGTGACCCAGGTATTTCCATCCTCGTTACTGACACCGCCAGCAATGTCATCAGAGGCACTAAGTCAGAAGATTACATAGGTGAAGTAGAAGCTCAAAAGTTAGAGGCGAAAGTCTATGAGATTGAAACTTTACCACCAGAACACAAAGTCTCTGGCGTAGTTTGTCTTCACGTAGACGATACCCTTCGGGGAGGTGCATGACGACAAATCCCATGAGGTGCGTAAAGAAGTTGCCTCGTGCTTTCTAGTCGGAGACAACTGGAACGAAGGCCCTAAGGCTTTACCTCAATCCTTTACTTTTCTTGGTCGTGAATTAGTTGTCGAGAGAGACATGAGCGGCAGGCGATCTTTCAAAATTTCGCCGGAAGGATACGCTGCCAAATTAACTGAAATGTCTACTCCTGATGGTGTCGATCTTGAAAAAGCTTCAGACACAGCTTCGCGTAGTCTTTTTCGTGCTATGGTTGGCCGTCTCGCAAGACGCGGCCCGCACCCGCAGGACGCGCCTCGCAATCGCAAGAGCAAGACGCGGCTCGCCAAGACAAGGCCGCGCCCTACCTGCGGCGCGCACTCGCAAGACGCGGCGCGCACTTGCAAGGCGCGGCCTTCTCTCGCAAGACCCGGCCATCCCCTTCCCCTCCTTGGTAACGCGGCAATTCAAGCACCCCCTCTTTTCAAATAACGCGCCGCCTTTCAAACAAGCCGACTTATTTTCAAACGACCCGACATTTGCGCGTCTTCCATTTTTTTGTGTTGTGTTTTTTTTTTGTATACCTGTTGGAAGCTGGATAACTTACAAAACAAAGCCTGACTTGTTATTTGGCACTTTCCCTGGTTCTAAGGCCGTTGCAAGTCCTACTTGGAGCGATGTCATTGCTCTAGCCAAAACTTTGAGGACTGCCACTTTTCATCGTGGGAATGGCATTCGCATGCACCCTATGAAAGTAGAAAAATCTCGCATAGTTGCACCCACTGACGCAAGTTACAACCGTCACAAAGCTTGCCCGTCTGTTTTTGCTGGTATGCTTTTCGTGTCTAATCTGACTACGACGTCGACTACGACCAAAACCTTTACACCAACGAGCCTACAGACCGCTTAGCGCCAGTATCTAGTAAGCCCGCATGGGTCCGCGCTTCTCTGGTATTTTGGAGAACTCGAGTAGTTATCCGTAGGGTAGACACTATTCTTGACGTTGCGGCATTGTCTATGCTATAACTATTCAGCACGGCTCCGCAGCCGCGGAATACTTACAAAGTCTAGGTCTCGAAATGCAAGCTGTGCGCAGTAAACTTAAACCTTGCACTTTTAACGATAACAGCTCAACAGTGACCCACGTAAAGAGTTCGAACAAGCACAAGAGTCCAAGAATGAACGCAACCTGGGGAACGCTACGCCAAGCGTTCACTAGTAACAAGTTTGCTCTTAAATTCTTGCGCGGTAAAACTTTGAACATTGTGGACGTTGGAACTGAGCTAAAGTCTAACACTTTGCCTTTGTTCATAAAGTTGCTGCGACTAGGCAAGCTGTTTTTAACGCCTTGAGCACAGCGGTCACGGCGCCAGAGCTGCCCTATGTTTTTCTTCTAGCGTATAGATAAACAAGCTTTACCTTGTGCGCCTAGAGCGACTTACTTTTTACTACTTAGACTGTTGATAATTTGACCTCTTACCTTTGAGTCGTAAGGCTAGCTGCAAAAGAGTTTGCTTACCCAAGAGCTTGAGTAGCGGTAAGTCAGTAAAGAAAAGCACTGAACACATAAAGAAGACCCACTCTAAAAGGCAAGGCTTTGGGCTGGCTCGTCGCACTCTCCGCGATAGTGATTTGCATTAGACTAGCTTAGGTTAGTGCTATCTTTCGCATTGTTTTTCGCTGTATACGTTTGCCCAGCACTGGACTGCTAACTTGTTGCTAGATCAAACTTGCTCGCAAGAAATCCGATCTCATGCGGATGCGCTCGGGCAAGGAAAGCGGATATCGTTGGGATGTCAAAAAGTATACTCGAAAAGACGAACAAGACCAGACGAAAGCAAGCAAAAACACCCACAAGGAGACCCCGGCGACAAGCCTCCGCCTCACCCTGTGGAGCTTGCCACCAGATGCCGAGTGCCCAAGCCTCCCCATCGCCTCGCCGGTGCGCAGCCCATCCGTAACCACCCACCGCACCCCCCGACTGAGCCTTCTCTGAGCCTGGCGCAGAGTGTATGAGACCAGACGCCAACCCATGCCCCCTCTCTCAACTCTCGAACGCCTCTCACTCAACCCTCCTCGCCCCCAGCTGACTCCACAGTAAGAACGGCCCGCTTGCCTGAGGCTGTCAGCGACAACCCCTGCCAGAGCCTTCAAAGACATCAAGTACAGAGGCACGGCCCGCACTAGTGCCCGATTGGCTGAGGCGCTGACCGCTACGGAAGTGCATCGAGATCCAAAAAGCGTCGGCATTCGTGACACATTCAGGCAAATTACTTTATTTTCATATACGGGATTACTGTTTTGGGTCTTCGTTCAAATTGTAAGGACTTCGCCGAAACCGACGAAGCCCTGAGAAGCTGTTGTGGGGATTTGTTCAGTCAAAACCTCCGAAGAGGCGCGCCAGGTGCCCTGATTCGTATGTAATTCATGATGTTGATTCTCGTAATCTTAAATATGTAGATAATCAAATAGAATAAATATCAAAAAAATTTCTTATAGCATGATGAGAGATTTTTTCGTTAAAAATTTCCGACCTTCGTCGGAGATGTTGACAGGCTTCGCCTCTGCCTTCTTTACTTTCGTCCCAACAGAGGCCCGAACACGATATAAAACCGCGACGCGACTTGATGGATTGGTGATGGTGGCTCTATTTTATTCATATAATGATGATACGTACTCACAGGGTAAAGCTCAATATAAATTTAGATCAATTCACTTCGAAAATTTATGAAAGAAGAACTGAAGAACCCATTAAGAACATGAAAATAATGAAGAAGCAGACGCTTTTTCTTAGTCCTGGCGGACCGAGAGCGCCTGTTTTTGGAACAGACGAACCCGCGCCCCACACCAAGACCCGTCTCCTTTTTTGCTCCTAGAAGACGTCTGCATTGGCCAAAGGCCCACCACGTTGGCGAGCTTTTCCACTGCTTCGCTCTTGAGTATCAAACTCGCATCTTACTTGTCGGACGCGTTTGCAGCCGACTTGGCTTTCTCCCGGAAAATTTTGGCACGCAACGTCTTCAACAGATTCCAGTTGCTCTCAGTCAAAAGCCACTCAATTCCCTCCAGCAGTTCGTCGATCTTCTTGCAAGTCGCAGAACCTAAGAGACGAGGCCGATGATATTGAGAGGGGGATGAGAGAAGACCGACGAAGAAGTTGCACATTGAAACTTTGACCAAGATGATTGCCACGCGAATCAATCCTAGGCAAAGAAAACCGAAAAGGAAATAAGCTATACCCGCTTGATTCTCGCAGAGCTGCTTCAGCTTGGGCAGCAATTGGGAAGCCTTCTCTGCATCCATCTTGCGATCAGTGATGATCTTGTTCATGAGCTTCTTCACCAAATTCTCCTCAGCGTCCGCATTCATGTAGATGGAACGGAAGACCTCATAGTCGATATCAGTGCCAGCCAGAAGAGCCCCCATCTGTTTCTTTGCTTGGTCATTCACACCACCAGACACCCAGCTGACCTGGTCAAAGTTCTCCAACTCGCCGGAAGCACACTGACGGAGAAGGTTCAGCTGCTCTTCGTTCTTGTCATAGACCAGCCCCTTGAGCTCATCGCGGTCGGCTGTCAACATCGAAGCGCTCAAGTTTCCAAATGCCTCCGAGACAGTAAGCCTGTGCTTTTAGTTCAATCCATTACAAGAGACGAAGGAGAAAGAGGTCGTAATATGAAAGATCTATCACTAGAAACGAAAAGAAAAAGAAAGACTCCCAGAAGTGAAGAGATGGAGAGCCGAGAAAAGTGCTAACGTCTTGGAAACGAATAGAGAGCAGGTAAATGAGCAGACAACTATATCAAAGAAACTCTCGCACTCAAATTTTCGAAGAGAGAAAGAGACAAAATGATCTAACAGAAACGTTACAAATTCCAATCCACAGTGCAATCATTCTTCAGCTTCTCCCAGCCCTCAGTACGCGTTTCTACATACAAACGCATCGTGCGAGCGCGCTTCAACTCTTCGGCAGTGAAGCCACAATGCGGCAGGTCGCCGTTACCAGTCAAAATGGAGCTCATCACTTTCTGCCCAGACGGAATGATCTCATAGATGACAGCGATGCGGCCCATCGCCTTCCAGAAGGAATCCTGATCGGGAACACCTGCACGCTCAGCAGAAAGGACCTGCTCCAACTCAGTGATGTCACGCTGCAACTCGCTGGCACCGGCGTAACGCTGGAACGCCTGTGGGTGAAGATGTTGAGAGAGTTTATGAATGTACGGACATCGGTTGGAGTCACTCGAGAAAAGGACGAGCGACGTCTTTGAAGCTCTCTCCTTGTTACAGGTAAAAAGCTCAGCCCTACTCTCATCTTCTTTGGAACCTTCTCAAAATTTTAGCGAAAAAGTAGAGATATCAAACACCTAAGAAACACGCTGTAACAAATCGGACAGGCTAGAAAAGTACTCAAAGGGAAGTACCGCGTCAAGGTTTTCCTCCAGCTGCGTGTCAGCCAGCATCTTCTTCACACGGGTCTGCATGGCGGCGAAGAGAGGGATCTCGGTACAAGACAAAGCAGCAGCAGCTTCCTGTAGCAGAGCGAGGCCAAAAGCAACATGATCAGGATCATCTTCAGGTCCTTCCAAATCCGCATCGTTAGAATCGGCAGCACGCTTCGCAGCCATCTTGACCTTCTCCACCATTTTCGCTGCAGCACACAAATTCGGAGCAGTGACAGCAAACATCTCTTCGCTCCTGAAAGTAAGGAGATGGGGACGATGTTGTTGCGAGCCTTGTGCGGATATGGGGATAGAGTGCTGGTTCGAAGCTACCGCGACCATCTTCAAAAAAGTAGAAGGATTGTTTTCATTTTTTGGACGTAAAATAAGAAGCAACAAGTTCGTAGAATCATCATCACCCAGATAAAAACTAAAATAATAAGAATTAGTACGCTCCGAGAAACTTCATGGCCTTCAGGGTGGACTTCTTCATGCGTTTTCCCAGCTGGTCACTGCACCAAACAGCGAGGCGGGAGTAAGGGGTTTCGCCGTGTCGATCTGTGAGAGAATTGAGATGGTTTGCTGTGGTTCATAGTTGTGGAAGAATCCCAGGGAAGAAGATGGCTGAGAGTTCTTGGATCTCGCTATAGTGGATCTACAACAGCACTCGATACTCAAATAAATGAAAGTGAGAAGCTGCTGATAGATCACGCGAAGACCATAGGCATAAGTAGAAATATAGAATTTAAGTACCGAGATCCAGATCGGTCATGTGCTTCGTACCAGCACGGACGCACTCAACGACATTGCAAAGCTGTGCAGTTTCCGCCTGCTTTCCTCGAAATACCTTCAAAATGGCCTCGGCCTCGCGGTAGTTCAGCATATACTGAGTGTCGATGTCAATCGCTTGAACAACGCGGGCGGTTGTAGCCGTGCTCGTAGTAGAAGTTGTTGCTGTCTCGTTCTTCGCCATCTCCTTGAGCGCATTCGCATCGGCAGCCAAAACCATCGACAAGAAATCTGGCTCCACATTTGCTGTAGAAGAAGACGAAGTAGCTCCTTCACCAGCATCAAGCTCAGCACCTTCTAATTCTGGAGCACTACCAGCTAGGTGGCCAACAGGATGACCAGCTGCATACAAAGTTCCACCCGGACTGCATAGCGGCGTCTGGCGGTCCATGTTGTGAGTGGCAGCAGATTCATCTTGGCACACGTTACTGGACATGAAGCGATCCTCGTTGAGCAGATCGATGTCCATCTGAAACGGACGCTCCGAAAAACCACCAGCGCCTACTGCTACCCCATGGCTGTAACACCAGTCGGAGACGCTTGCCATTTTTTGCACTGCTCCAATCTTGCGGCCGATTCGCTCCTTCAAAGAAGTGCGAATATGATGCCCATCGCGACGGTTCACTTCGTCGACCATCGTGTCGTAGAGGAAGTTCCAAGTTTCTGCGTTGATGACAAGGTTGGAAGTGTCGGACTTTCCTTTCTTCTTCATCATCTCCTCGAGGCCAGCTTTCACCTCAATGGCCAAGTACTCGACCGCATTCATGAACGTGGAGCTACTGTTCGGGTTAGCCGACTCACGAACGCCAAACGCCTCGCGCGACAAGTTGAACTCCTTCACGCCAAGATTCCACTTGGCCGATTTCTGCTTGTTGGTGATCTTGTTCAAGGCGACCTGCTGAAGCTGCTCCAGGGTAAAGCTCAGACTCACCGCAGATTTCTTGTTGCGACCATTGCCGCCCTTCTTGATCGTGATAATGTCGCACGGGTCTTCAACTTGCGACGAGCACGCTTGTTGCTGTGGTGATGGATTTGAGAGGAGTTGATAGCTCTTATCTTTAGCAGAAAAAAGTGAGTGAGGCTGTGGTCAGAAGTTAGGAAGGAGTTGTAATCTTGTGACTTGTATACTCATCGAGGAGGAAAGAGAACACTGAATGTTTAAGACTAAAACTAGACCGACCTGACCACTCGAAAGCAGACAGGCCGACCATCGATCTTGTTACAAAATTTAGGTCTATTGCATGGTATATAGGAAGGTATATGGAAACACGATCGGAGACATCAACTAGCCTAAAAGTGAATTGAAGACATCAACTTTAGGAGGTATATGCGAAGGTATATGGCTAAGTATATGCCGAAGTTATTGGAGGGATATGCGAGGTATATTGTAAATTTCAAATAGAAACCCAACCCCCTGACTTTTGCAATATACCTCGCCATATACCTCCCATATACCGGCCTAAAATGAAGAATTGCGTTTTTGTACACCTTCCAATATACCAAAAAAAGTAGTACCATCTCTTTGGCAGCTTTGGCGCGAGCACGCTTCTTTGCCGGACTCAGCTCTTCATCTTCCTCAACTTCCTCAGCAACAATACCAAGAGCAGCCAAAGACGACGAAGCAGCACCAGATTGGGCGCCAGCCTTAGCTTTGGCGCGACCCATTTTCTCCATTGCGGGTTTGGCAGAAGAAGTTGCTTGCTCACCAGCAGGAGCAGTTTCTTCATTCTGAACACCCATGGCCACACCCTCCACCGACGGAGGAACAGCAGCAGCAGCATGCTCGCCTTCTCCTAAAAGAGTCTCGTTAGGAACAACAGGAGCAGCTTGTTCACCAGCAACCTGCTGCTGGATCTCAGCAGTGGCATCTTCAACCAGGAGACTGCCCGACGTCGTTCCTCCTTGTTGTGAGAGTCTTATCAAATACTCAAGATTCAAGCAGCGGAAACAATATCAAGCGGACAACTACTAGGATAGCAGTAAGTTAATCGATAAGCGATCGATTAGTTGAGTACTAATTATAAACGCCTGCAGCGGAGAAGAAGAGTATATCTATACGAGAGAAGGCATGAACGACCGAGAAGACAACTGAGCGAAGATCCGAGAGAAACGATCACAACAAAGACCAGGAGCCTCGAAGACAGCCAAGAACGCTGGGACTCACATCAAGCGTTATCCTTCCAGAGCACAACGAGCACAGAACACAGAAAACTGCTCCACCAGGCGCGGAAGTCGCGAGGGCGACGTGGCTATCTAGTCCGTAACGCAAGATAAATAAATGCGCCATCAACTAGAAACCGCCGAGCCTATTTATTCAAGGCATAAACTCTAGTAGTAGTTATACAATATTACTGCGTGCTTGGCTGTACTTGTTTCCGCTGATCTTGTGAATCGCCGTAAATAAATCAAGACGCTTTTTGTTGTTAAAGAATTGGTTATCATTTTTGAGCTGATCAACTACTTCTCCATACATTTGCTCGTACTCCGCCGCCCATTCTACACGGCACGCGCTGCTGTACAAATCCTCCTCACCTGCCACAGGCGCCTCTGCTGTTGCTCCTCTGCTGAGGAAGAATTTCCATGCACGCACCAAGAAGCAAGCAGCTCGAGTTGTGAACTTTGGCCCACCATAGACGTTAATGGAAATGTCTCGACTGGCTTGCTTTTCTCCCATCAAGCCCAAATGTCGGAGCCTCTCCACTGCGACTTGCTCGGGAACTGTGACCCTAATGTAATCCACCACCACGATCTTATGTGCTGCGGTCCAGGCCCCTCCTCTGGTGTACATGCTAAGAGGCTCGATCGTTTCACCACTAGGAGTGTACTCATCGATAAATTGCCGCACAGAAGAGTCCAGCTGGTCCTTCACCTGTCTGGTCTGCTCGCGATCTACTGGCGCAGGCGGAACTGCTGGGACTTGTGGTATTATGCGGGGCTCAGCGTTGTTTTGATTTGCATCAACACGCGCAGCAGCTGGCCTCGAAGTACTACCTCCACCAGATCGCTGCTTGAGAACCCGAGTTCGACATACTCCCATGAGCTCACCACAACTGGTTCTATGATGCAAATACGTAGGGAGCAGCGGCTGCGAGCATGTAACAGTGAATCCAGAGTTGTTGACGTACTGCGGAGGAATAAACCAAGTCTCCCCCCTTG